GTAATATTATGATCTTGGTAGCTCGGGGAGCCGAAGAAGCAGCAGTCGGGGAATTTTCAGTCAGCAGTAGAGGGTTATCAGCAAGTTCAGCAGTGCAGGTGAGTTTCCCTTTGTGTGGATGGGTCTACGGCCACAATGCCGACCCATGTAGTTATGAGTAGGAAGACCCGGGGGTTAGCCCTAGGCACCGTATGCTAGTATGATATTCAGGACCAAGGTCCGATAGCGGGCGGGTGCCCAAGGAATGGTTTGCATGATAGAGTATACTTGTTGTCTGTGTGATACATGTATGTGCCTGGTAAGGAGGTGAGTGTGGGCGAGGTCCCGTATCTCACCTATAGCAGAGTGTGGACGGTGTTCCATATCTCATTAGCAGCAGAGCAGGGGCGAGGCCCAAGTTAGGGAAGGAGTGAGTGTGGGCTGGGCCCGTATCTCAATATCAGTAGGAGTGTGGATGGGGTTCCATGACTCATCAGTAGCAACAAAGGGGGCGGGCCCAAGATAGGCGAGGCCTTTACGACAGGATACAGTAGTGTATGTTAGTTATGTATTATGCGTTTATCTTACATGTTTGTATATGTTTAGCGGGCGAGGCCCAGAGACAGGCGAGGCCTAAGAGAAACAGATATGTATACCGAGCGGGGCTCGATGCCAGGCGGGGCCTGATGCCGGGCGGGGCCCGATGCCGGAGCAAGTCTGATGCTAGGCTAGTCCCGATGCAGCAGGGGCGAGGCCCAGTATGTGATTATGTGTATGGTATGTGGTAGGTTGGGGAACTCACTAAGCTTCGTGCTTACAGTTTTCAGTTTTGGTTTCAGGTACTTCCGGTAGCGGAGGGAAGAGCTCTGGGTGATCGCATGGCACACACCATTGATTAGCCAGCCTGGGATGTTTTACTCTGATGAAATGAACAAGTGTTTTGAAAGATACTCTAATTTTTTATATAACTCTTTTAGTATGTTTGAAATGATTTAATACTATGGTTTAGTTATGACTTAAAAATGAAATTTTCAGACTGTATTTTTGGGATGTTACAATAATTCTGGATCACAACCTCACCGCCTGCTACATAAGGTTGCAGGTGCAACACGGAGAAGTCGTGAACAACAGCAAATGTTGGAGGAGGAACGGGGCTTGTTGATTTGATATCAACCTTCTTTTTTGGTCTTCTTTTTTGCTTCGGTGTCATGTGCAACTAAAACAATATTCAAATATTTAAATCTCTATCTTTCATATCAATATTCACATAAAAATAAAATTTTATTATTACGATATAAGCTTTTAAATTAAACGAATACCTCGGTGTAAGGAGGGCACAAATACTTTGATGGATTTCGAGCCCCCAGTCTATCGGTTGTAACTTCTTTGCCATCAAACCATAATCATCATATAAATTACATTTCCCGTAATTATTAAATCATCTCCTCCGACACCTAAATTAATAAGCATAATCTCTAATAAAAAATGTTTCAATCTACTAAAAAATAAAAAAATAAAAAAATATAACAAAACCTCTTTATCATCATTTAAATCAACACATCATCATCAAATTTGTTCCTACTACAACAACACGCATCTCATTCCTCTCCTCCAACTCCTACATTAAAATTAACACATTATAGTTATTAGCGAAAGACACCTTAAAATTTAATTATTAAAATCGTAACTGTAATATATATAATAACCTTTTCATCTTCAATATCACCAAAAACATTTTCATTTGTATTATTTTTATTCATCCCTTCATCTTCTACAACCTACATTTTCAACTATAAAATATGAACAAAAATTTTCAAATATTTTAATAAGTTATATAAAAAAATGTAGCGTGTAACTAACCGGTTGACCTAAATTTGTTTGGAAGACTGCAGACTCCTCAAAACTGATGTTATTCCATAGATCTTCATTATTCACTTCTTCAACAAACACCTCAGTAGGTTCTCAGTTCATAAACACCTGTTGCTCCAGTACATGTAGCCGTTTCAACACCTCCTCTAAGCTGGGTTTCCCACTACGCCCACCTCTACCGTGAGAGCGACCACTAGACGACATACTAGACGAAGATTCGTCTTGTCTCCTAAAATGGTCCCATACGGGGGATGGAACTGATTTCCGTTCACCGTATATATACTATTGCAATGACATATAATAAGAAGATGTCATCTCATCATCACTCGGTGACATTTTATTTCTTAGTCGTTGTCCCTCCTAAAAAATTGAACATACTAAAAATGCATATAAAAGTATAATAATGAATTTTATTAAAAATAAAAAAAATTATAAACCTTTGTCATTGAAAAAATATTGTTCACATCAACTCATTTCAAATTTTTTGTGTCATTCCATCGTTTCATCCGTGACATGTCTCTATTTTTTTTTCTCAATACAAATCCACAAGCACGAACAGCCGGAAGCATCTCATATATCCATATCTACAATTTTTACAATTATAGTAATAAAAATTAAAATTAAAATAACTAACATAACAATAAAAGCATTTAAATATAAATAATTTTTTATACCCTAAATGCAGCCTTAAATCCTAAGACGGAGTATTTTAAAGTTTGACGACGCTCCGGCAGTGATAAATATTTATTTATCTTGTTCCACGTATCCTCAAGGTCGCCATAGGTAAAATCTCATAAATAGTTGCCCCAAGCAAAACTAACAAAACAAAAAAATATTAGTTATAATATACATTAACATTAATAATATGAAACTTTCAAAGTAAACAAAAAATACCTGTTCCAGACATCCAAATTCTCAGCAAAAAAAAAACCAATCTTGTGGCACCCGATCATTTATATCTTTTTTCCCAAAAATCATTCACACAACATGTATATCAAACATACTTTAACTGCATCAGCGTCGCCAACTTCTAAGAATGAATGATTTAAAATATAACTTTTCAGGTCACCGATTTTCACCGAACTATTTGTATGGTTCGGAAATAGACATTCACGCAATAAACATCTTTTTTTAGTACTAACTATTTTTTCTGACACTTTTTTGCCTATCATTTTAGGATACTCGCCAAAATTCAACCCGGTTATCAAACAAAACTCTTCCGGGCCATATACCATTTTCGTATCACCCACTCTAAAATATAACCGTTTTATTCCATCTGGAGATAAAACAACATCCGACCGTATCTGATGAAGAAACATCTTGTGGAACAGCAATTCGTCCCCTTGTAAACGAGGGACGTCCAACAAGTAAACAAAATACTTTGTCTAAAAAATCACGTCTGACACCATCTACACCTCAAACACTTCCCAATGTTACAAACCTACCCCCGATCCTTTTAAGTTCACAATAGCTTTAACATTGAATTATTAGAATCATACTGCACAAAAAACAACAACATATTAGAAAACTAAATAACGATTTCATTTTAAATATCGGATATTAAATGCAATAATAGCCAGCATTCAAATTACAAACATAAACAATGCAAAAACCAACATGTAAAATCAATAATTTCTATATTTACGCTGAAAAAACAATAACATACTATAACAATTTTTCAACTTAAACGACAAGTATATACAATTTTTCAAGTTATGACGACAAGTATAAACGATTTTTAAATTTCAAATTAAAAAAAATAATAGAGGCTAACCAAACTATACAAGTTTTTCAACTTAACGACAAGTTAGACAAATTTCAAGTTATACGACAAATAGACAAACGACTATTGTAAACATATTGTAAACATTATTATAATCATTTTTCAAGATATATGACCACTTATACGACAAGTATATACAATTTTTCAAGTTATACAACAACTATACAAACGACAAATAACATATTCTAACCATGCTATATCAATTTCTCAACTTAAAACCACACTAACAAACATTTGTAAACATATTGTAACAATTTATTTAACTTTGAACTTAAAAAAATAACAGTTTTAACCATTTTACTAAATGTACAACAAGCCAATACACCTACGCGCAGTCTATATTGTACATTCATACAACCACTACAAAATAAATTAAAACTTCAAGGTTACTAATAAATAATATTAAATCTATCAAATACAACAAAATTACCCAATCACAAATAATATAATTTCATTTTTTTTACACAAACTAATACAATAAATAATAAAATAATAAAAACATATACTAAATAAATGTTAATTAAAACATAAAAATAGTTAAAATCTAACCATATTTTCGGGATTGTTGAAAAAATCGTCAATTTTCTTCAAGAAATTGTCAGAGGGAATCGCCGAGAGAGAGAGAGAGTTTTTCTAAATTGAAGAGTGAAAAATGAAAAAAAAAAAAAAAAAAAAACTGTTTTATAGTTTTTTCAACCGAAAATCGCAGGTGGAACATGAAAAATCGCAGATGACTATTCTATCTGCGAAGGTACAAGTGTCTAAAGCACAGCTGTGCTTTAGGCGCTTGTACCTTCACAGATAGAAGGGCAAAATCGCAGATGGGTCATTTCCATCTGCGATTTCAGTGGTTATAATTGCAATTTTGATTTTTTTTGGCTAAATTTATACGGTAATTAGTGTATTTGGCTAAATTTGTAATTATCTCTAATCTAAAAGCATATAATATGAAACCTGATTTAAAAAAAAAAACAAAACACAAAACAAAGTTCCTAACAAATTAACACTTGTACCGGTTAAGGCTGAATGCAGCAGGAAGGAGGGACCCTTTTCCATACTTTGAACCCCCCAAAAGCCGGAATTCACTAATTTCTCATCATGAAGTCGGCCGCTTCCCATATAAACAATTTTCTTTATGTTTAAAATTACAAATCCTTCTTTCATTTGTGGGGGCTAAATTAATAAAATACTATACAACTTATTATACCACTAGAATTAATCTCGTTTCTTTGTAGGGCATATTTTCATATGTGACAATACACATCTCTTTTTATTTTGTAGGCCATGTTTTTGAATATTTATTTTTCAGTTTATCGGTCACTTTCTATAACATACCATTATAAAGCCCGGATCCACGAAAGGTAATAGAAATAAAGGAATGGAGCCGGAGCCTTACAAGTTGGAAAATATCTATTCGAAAACCCAAATGATCGAGCCACACTTCAGGCATATTAGCATATATACCACTTCAACTTCCTATTTGTTCTTCACAAGTCTTGAAGGTAAACAGTTAAAATGCTTAAATAATAAGCTCGTCTATTCGTTTTTGACCTCACTCACATCTCATCTCTTTCTGCATGACAAGTTGCAGCCTCCATCAAGTGTATTTAAATAGCACGTCGCAGGGATCTACCCAATAGTACTTATTCTGTAATTCATAATATAAACATACTAATTAATATTTGTTTACCCATAATATATAGTAATATATATAGTGATGCTACTTCCATTTTTTTAGCAATAATACTAATATGCAACATGAAAATTGTTAAGATTTTACTTGTTTAATGAAGTTATATATTGCTATTATTGCTAATAAAATGTAAATACGTGTTGTTATTATCGCCCGAGGCAATTTGAATGCAAGAGGTGTTTTATTTTAATTTTCATAAACAATATGTAGTGTCCACAAGTATAAAGTGCATGGCAAATAGGCTTGAAAACATAAAGGAGGAAGGCGTGGAGAATTGGCTACCGGCAGCATGTCCACTGCCCCACACCCCAACGGAATCCATGGAGTTTCTGGGGAGGTCATGGAGTGTTTCATCTGTGGAAGTCTCGAAAGCTCTTTCCCACACTTTTGTTGAAAACCAGAATTTATTTTGCAATGCTGAAGGTAATCAAGAGAGTTCATCTACAGTGTCAGAAGAACATGTAAGATCCCTTTTCGCTTCTATCTTTCAGTAATCATGCGATTTATCATTATATAGGGACTTATAGGATTTAGTTCATATTTTGTTTTGCAACAAAACCTAAAATGAATAAGAGAATATACATTCTATCTCAAAATTCTGTTAAATGTTAATTAAACTTGTATATTTTCATTTTATTGCAGCAACCTCAACCATTAGCAAAACCAGACAGCCCTCCAGTTTCTCCGAGAAAAAGTGATGAAATGAAGGTGAGTATTATGTATATTAGCTAGCTATCTTTTAGTTGCTTTTGGTCTACAATGAAAGGATGTTTATAGAATTGGTTAACATCAAATACTTTATAGAACTAGGCATCCAGTAACATAGTATCAAAGGTTGTTTTTAAAATTTTCAGCATAATGTTGGACTTTTGGGTATTAATCAGCTAGAGTACTTTAATCTTATAGCCATAAGACTGAACCAAAAACACAAAAAGTCCGAGAAACAGTAACTGAACACCGAGATATTAAAAAAAAAACGATGGTTTGGTTCTTTGCTTTTAATAAAACAAAAACTTTAGGCTAGGCTTGGTTTTTGTTTTGAAACAGAAAGTAAAAACCAAACCATATCTTATGTTGTTTTTATAACATACTAATTCTTTATTTGATTAACTAATAAGATATTTCTTGTTTCCATTCCATTCCATTAGTTGTGTAGTTAGATATAAATTTTTGGGAGGCTTTTTGCAATTATTACATCATGCAAAATTCAATGAAATATCTTTGTAATGCTTTCATGGATTATGGCTTCAACAAGCCCATATATTCAATTGCTATTTTTATTGATGTATACAACTCAAACACCCAAAAACCAAAAAATCGAAACACCCAAATCCATCTGCTCAAACCTAAGAACTAAAAACCTGAAACTGGAAAAATTGAACAAAAACGGGGTTTGGGCATTAGCAAGAAACCATGCTCACCCGTCATCTAATCCATTGCAGGAATTGTTTCTGATTCATCAAGCTCTCAACCAAGATTTTCTTTCTAATCATCAATTACTCAAAAATGGGGTATGTATATAATATAGGCTACCTTGACCACCTACATATTTAGAATTATAATAATGGGCTTAATGCAAGAAATCAAAAAAAAAAAAAAAAAAAATTACTTTCATTGTTTTGTATATTATTGCCTCTTACTTTCATGTTTTCTTTTATAGCGTTGTGATTTGAAAAAATCTACCCAATTGTAGCAATGCCATTAAAATACAATGCAAAACGGTTTCATTGCTATAATTGGATAAATTTTTTAAAGTGTGATGTCCTAATAAAAATCAAAATCAAAATAAAATGCTATATTCGGATAGATACCTCAAAGTAGAATGTAACAAGAAGAAAAAAATTGAAAGGTAGAATGTTTTAATTATATGAAATTAAAGTAGGATGCTATAATGCACAAATAAATGAAAGTACGTTACTATTTTTGGCAAGTAGCCTTGTAACAAATTACTAGGGCTAAATGCAAGGAATAACATTCTACTTTTATTTCTTTGTTTATAATAGCATATTTCTTTCATTTCTATGCAAATTGTTTATTTAAAATTCTACCAGTTACAACATTATCTTTAAAAAAAAAAATTATAAGGACACTTTACTTGGAAAAAGTTATCCAATTATAGCAGTGAAATCATTTTGTATTTTGAAGTACAATGCTATAAGAGAGAAAATATGAAATAAAGATTCAGTAGTAAATAAATAACTGAAAGTAAGTTGCTAGTTCTTCCAATTAAACCCATCATTAATTATTCCATCTACAGCTATACAGGAACATTATGAGAGGAAGGACAATGGGTAGATGGATAAAGGATCAGAAAGAGAGGAGGAAGCATGAGATAAGAACACACAATGCTCAACTGCATGCAGCAGTTTCAGTGGCTGGTGTTGCTGCAGCAGTGGCTGCTCTTACTGCTTCATCAGCAACATTAAGCAAAAATTCAGGTAATAAGGAGCGCTCAAAAACATCAAATGCAATAGCAGCAGCAGCAGCTCTAGTGGCATCACACTGCATAGAGATTGCAGAGGACATGGGAGCTGAGCATGACCAGATTTTATCAGCTGTAAATTCTGCTACTATTGCCAGGAGTAATGGTGATATAATGACCCTCACTGCTGGAGCAGCCACTGGTAATAATTGGTTTTTGTTTTTACGCCTCTTTTCTTTTGCTAATTAAAGAGGACAAACATGCATACACCGGAACTGGAACTACAACTCTTGAACTTGAACTGATGTTAATGGGACAAAATTGCTATTTTTTGTCGTGACCAAAAAAGTGAACTTTCTTGTTTGTGAAAAGACGTGAATGTCCTCCTCATCCTGTCTAGTCATGTCCCGTGTGTGACAAACACGACCAAAATGTCAATCTTTTAGCTAGACAATAATTAAATGCATCGATTAATTATGAAAATAGAGGAAACGAAAGATGCCATTGGCAATCTTTATGTGAAAGAGGTTTTACTACTAGGGCTAGATGAAATGCATAATAACCACGGGCGTGCCAAAAAATATGTTTATTCAAAAATAATATATTTTGACATTTCAAAAATATTTGCCCCAATAAAAAAATTAACTTTTTTTGCCCATCTTCAGAAAATTCATGGGGTACAATATACTTTCACTTATTTGTGTGTTCTAGCAAACCTACTTTCTTTTCTTTCTATTAAAAAGTTGTACTTCCATTTTCTTATTTAGGTATTGCACTTTGAAAAAATGGATCCAATTATAGCATTCTACTTTTAGTGTTTCTTATTAGGACATTATATGTTGAAAAATATACCCCGGTATAACAGAGATTTTTTTTTAGATGACTCTACTGTATAATTTGATAGATTTTTTAAAGTACAATGTTATAATAAGAAAAAAAGCATTGATTTTATAATAAACAAATTAATAAAATTACATTGTTACTTCTCGCATTTAACTGATTAACACTTTTATGGGTGACTGTAAATATTATAAAAAAAAAATCCTACAGCATTGAGAGGAGCTGCAACATTACGATCTAGGCTGCAAAAGGGTCCTACAACTATGGCATTGGCTGAGGAACACGTTGAAGAAGGCAAAGAGTTAAATGTCTTGGCAGCCTTAAACTTTGTTTTTAAAGGGGGGGAACTTTTAAAGCTTACAAGAAAAGGTAATTTCACAAAAAGTATGCAAAATGTGAGTTTCGAGGAAGCATTTTGAACTATTATGTGATTATCGATTGTAGAAAGATGAGAAATGAATTGATTGAGAGAGAAAATTGAGAGAAGTGTTTTTCATCATCATTGAATAATAATACAATACATCAATATATACTGAACAGAAAAACATTGCGTACTAATTACGATTCTAACAAACTAAATGACGTATCACTTCTCTAATGGTTGACTTGTTGACTTTTGTTCTCCAATAACAGGGGACCTTCATTGGAAGCAAGTTTCTTTCAAGGTCAATACAAAATGGCAGGTAATACTCAATCAATACTATCTATATATGTATAATTCTCTCAAGATTCTACATAAATACCAAATTATAACATCTATTTTACCAACAGGTGGTAGTAAAAATGAAAAGCAAGCACATGGCAGGAACTTTTACAAAGAAAAAGAAGTGTAAGAATTATATATGATATCATACTTATAAGATTTATAATATTGCTTTGTGTTCATCTGAAAGTGGAATTGCTACTCCTGCAGTTGTAGTCTCTGGAGTCTATGTTGATGTCCCAGCATGGCCTGGAAGAGAGACGGATGATAGCAATGAAGAGAGGCAATATTTCGGGATAGAAACCTCTGAAAGAGTAATAGAGTTTGAATGCAACACTAAAGACGAAAAACAAAAGTGGATAGAGGGCTTGCAGCATTTATTGAATTGCCGAGCTAATATGCCAAGGTTTACGTAAAATATATCTTCATTTGGTCCTTGGACTTAGAAAACCTTAAGTTATTGGCATGTAATCAAGCATTGGGGTTGGATTTGTACAATGAGTGGATTTTATTTATGTGAGTGATTGTGTTTACAAAATAGTGTGAAACGATTTATTCACCTAATGAATTTATCTTCCAATAACATTAACATTTGTACAGCTCTTTCAATATATCCTACAAAACAAGTATACAACAAAATATACTTATTTTATGAGAGTATACATGTAATGAGGATTATAGAAGATGTGCCTCTTTCAATGGTTGTGGCAATTTGTTGGTATTGATACAACTTCACAGCCATGTTTTAATTATTGTTTTCAAGTTATTTTTTTATCACTTTGTTAGTTTGAATAGGTAAAAGTCATGTTGGGTGAAGTGGTTTAAGTGGAAAAATGTGAATGCAGAATATTTTCCCATATGTATCTCATCTCATTAAAACACTATAAATATGTTTACATGTGGGCCTTATTTTCCTATATGTATCTCATCTCACTAAAACACTATAAAAATGTTTACATGTGAGCCTTTATAGAATAATACAATAATGGGCTATACAAAGATACAATCACAACTAATAATACACTAATAACCCCCTGCAGTTGGAACGGGAAGTTTACAGATGTTCAAACGATCTGAAGTCTAAAAATAAAGACGATGGCAAACCCTTCGTAAAAATATCAGCAAATTGGTGAGAGAAGGGCACATGCATGACTCGGATCTGACCTAAAGCGACTTTGACACGAACAAAGTGAATATCCATCTCAATGTGTTTGGTCCTTTGATGCTGAACGGGATTTGTAGATAAGTATACCGCACTTACATTGTCACAATAAACTATCGCGAGGAGGTGGTTGAAAAAAGTTCACGAAGTAAGTTGCAGATCCAACAAGATTCAACAACATTTTCTACCCCCGATACTCTACCTCAACACTGGATCTTGAAACCCTCCCTTGTCATTTGGAGGACCCTGATATCAGGTTGTGACCCAGAAACACACAATAACCCAATGTGGAGTGGCTAGAAAAAGGACAACCTGCCCGGTCAACATTCATGTAGGCAATAAGACCTCGGTCGGGAGATGCATATAACTGAAGACCATGATCAATGGAACTACAAATATAACACAAGATGTATTTGGGAGACATTATTGTCCTTACCACTTTAAGACAATAAGATGTGTTTGAGAGCAGCAGAGTGTGGTTCCCGCGATTCGTGCATGTATAAACATATCTGATGAACCGCATAAGCAATGTCTAAGCGAGTAAAGGTGTGATACTGGAGACTGCCTGCAAGACTGCTATATAAGGTCGAATCTCTAACCGGAGGACCAGACAGTCCTAATTTGGCAGAAGTATCTGTCAGGGTGCAAGACGGCTTGCATTGAAGGAAAAATATTTTTCAATACATATCTCATCTAATTAAAACACTATAAATATGTTTGCATGTGGGCCTTTACAGAATAATACAATAATGTTAGTGTATTATTTGATGTATATTATGATCATTTGATTTGGCATGGGAAATTAAAGAACACAAAGAACATAGTGATTTGGATGCTAAAAGATGTATTCGATCATAGTAAATGAGTACAAAAAGGGTACTAGACTAGAACTTCATAAATACCTCACTAGTCACCATGAACTATACCTCTCAAGCACACCTCTACAAGTGGTATGAAACCCACTTTATATAGAGGTGTTCATCTCTCTCTCTCTATCTCTCTCTTTCTCTCTCTTTCTCTCTCTCTCTCTATCTCTCTCTCTCTCTCTCTATAATATATATATATATATATATATATATATTATATATAGATATATATATATATATCTAGATATCTATATATATATATATATATATATATCATGTCACTAGGCTATACTACCACATGCAAGTGGGTCTACAAGAGTCAAACCATTACAAAGTCATACATGGATAACTTTGCACCCCAACATTCTCCCCCTCAAAGTTAAGAATGGATGACCCGCTTCAATCTTCCAAAATCTAGCAACTTCATGAACCAAGCCTCAAGCGTGACACATGTAGAGATGAACTTCAAATCTTCAATTCTTCAATGACCTTCCAATCCGGGTTCTAGAGTGTGAGACCGTACAAACCAAGCATCAAAAGGAAATTAGGAGTATCCAAACCTCCACAAGATTTCCGAACTTTAAGCATAAAAGCACACCCCAAAAATCTTCAATAAGTCCCAACCCATCATGAACTAATTACTTCCGAATCTCCAGTCGAATCACTTCATAAACTTCGTTGCTCAAGGTCACTTTGGTCTTCAAGTCCACGTAATATGAAAAATTCAACTTTCGAATTCGCATATTTAATTCTCCCCCCCCCCCCTTTTATAATCGGAAAATGATTATAAAACCAAAAAGGAATGAAAAAACGCTCAATTCGGAATTTTTCTATCCAAAACACATGGCATAAACGTTTTGCATAAATCCAAAAAATCCAAAAATACTTCAATTTTCGAATTCGTTCACGGACCGCCTTTGACAAATTTTCAAAATTTTGGGTAGAAATTGTCAATTTCGAAATTCTGCTGCGACCCGGTGCTCCACAATAGCCTAAGATGCGAAACTTTACCCCAATTGCGAAACTGGGCATAAAGTGATAATTCTCATCAACTGCAGGGGCCTGTTTCAAAAATATTCCAATTTCTTAGAATTTTCAGCCCAATTTCGAAACTGGGTAAATTCTGCCATTTCGCATAAACTCTAGGGATTCGAAACGAAAATTTAGTTTTTAATACCATTTTTATTCCCAGTTCGAAGGTGGGTGAAAATGTCAATTCGTTGATAGTTGAGGGATTCGAATCGACACAATTTTTTCTTCTTCACTGCATTTCGAAGACAAATGCGATGAAGACCTTCGAACATAGCTTGTCGATACCCATTTCGAACCTTCCAAATCAAACCTTCCCAAATCAAGACTCCCATTTCGAAGCTCGATGCTCGATTGACCTATTTCGAAATCAACAATCACTCAACCATATTCTCATATCAACCCTCAACTTTGAAACTCATTCGTTCAAGACTCAAGAGTCCGCGAATGTCGATTAGGCACCCCAAGCCTTCGATCGTCGACATAGAGAATTTGATCTCAAAGATCAACAATCGACATCCCAAGGCATTCGACTCCATACATTGACCATTGTTCCCAGAACTCAGTCGATTTTCGACTCTTCATTCTTAAAACTTATGTTCGACTTAGCCCATCTGCTTGTCGATGTCGACTCAAACCTTCTCATACGCCAAACTTACTGTCCCTAAAAACGAAAATTTGAAATCTGCTCAAAATCCATAGCTTTTCCAACTTGTTCGACACAAACGATTCCAAAAACCAATTTCGATTCCAACATTGATCAGTTAACCACGAACATGGACATTCGATACCAAAAACGGATTCTAATCCAAAATTGACTTTCAGAATTAAAACTAACTCTTCTCAACAACAATTCTTCTTATTTCGAAATCTATATTAACCACAAAACAACTTCGATTTCCATATCATAGTTCAAGTATCAAATGAAAACAATTGCCACAACCCTCGACATTAAGAACAAGAGCAACCCATTTCGAAATTAAACCCAAATCAACCACATATTCAATATTCGCAACCCATATATGACTTGTATCAACCAAATTCAGCCTCCAATTCATAGATTCATCACTTGAAAATCACGTTTGACTTTTCGAAGTAAAAAAATCAACAAACATGAAACTGATGATTCTAATACCAAATTTCAGATCAAAATGTGTTTGTTACATTGTTCTTCATCACATTCAAGTATTCTTGATCAATTTCATCAAAATCAAAGAACCAATTTGATGATTTCTCAACTTCAGCTTGAAAAAAATCCATTTCCTCATATAACAAATCATATGAAATTGATTCCCAATTTCAGATTAACAATCAATTATTAGGAATGATAAGAAGAAAATGAAAACGTAAGAAAACAAGTCAAGAAAATTGGAACGTACAACCACTGTATGCTTATGATGAAGAACGAACATAGTGAATACGCATCATACTGATTAAATGAATCTTTGGGCTCCTTGTGTTAAGATATCGATTCATGGGCTCAATAGTTGGACATGAACAATAATTGATTTAGATTTTGGGCTCAAGATATGGATCAGTGAATAATAGTCGAATCAAAAGATTTGGGCTCAATATGAATTTGAGTATGAACAGTATCAAATTTTAAAAGTGAAATGATCCCGAAGCTAGTGATTCCTGGTCTAGCCACAGTACCATCCTCAATGCTGAACTACTTGATTTTGCCATAATGGACCATGCTTCTCTCTTGGGCCTGGGGCATTTGGATATGGCGGGGATGCGGAAACTTTGTGCTCTGGAGGATGTGGGTGAGGTTTCTGATGACATCCTGATTGGTGTAACTAGCGGAGGCGGCACAGGCAATGGTGGTGGTGGTGATGCAGCGATGGGGGGCGGTGGCGGTGATGGCGTGGAAACGGGTGGTGTTGATGCAAGTGCTATTGGTGGCGATGATGCCGTTGGTTCTTAAGGTACTTTTGTACCGTGTGCTGCCCTTCGGGGTGTGAAGAAAAATGTGAAGCTTGTTCTCTTTCTCCTGTTTGCTTGTATTTACTTTGTATGGCTTTTGCTAGTATCACGTGTTGAAGGCCCTTTGGCCTTAGTTGTAATCTCTAGTTTTGACTTGATAATGTAAGGTGTGTTTTCCTATGTAACGCCCCAAAATCATGACTTAAAAATTTTTATTTTTAGAAAAATAAATCGTTAGTACACATCTTTCCCATAAAAACCAGGGTAAATTAATTTTTTACATAGCATTGTCAATCAGAGTATTTCACAGAAAACGGAAACATGCGGTGTGTGCTCTGAAATAATCCCGAGCCCTTCCAATTAAAAACCAGAGTACTTGAGACATAAATTGAAAACTGTAAGCACAAAGCTTAGTGAGTTCCCCAAAATACCACACAACATACAACCACAAAATATCATGCAACGTACATATAGTTACCATGGGCTCCCCTCATGGTCTTTATCTGATATGTCATGGGCCCCCCATGGTCTTTACCTG